CCGAGGTCAACATCTTTCTGATATTCTCTGCTTTCAGCCAAGATCCATCAGGCATCAGCAATGATATCCCTCATTCCACGGCCTCTTCTGAATCTGGCTTGAACCTCTGGAATTTTTCTGTCAATGTATGGTTATGAATCGGACTGCTAATCTCACAGTCAGCAATTCGAAACTACCAGCCATTCCATGGAAGAAAGATGAGGCTTTCTGCTCCTGTAAAATTTTACAGCCTCAGAAACCCTGTACAGGGTCACTATGAGTCAGAACCAACTCCACGGCACATCACACCACCACCACCAATTCATTAATTAAGTTTAGTATTTGAAAATAAGTAAACACGTGTGTTTTATTTTTAAAAGGTAAGGCTGATTTTTTAAATGTAATACTTGTAGACTTTCCCTGGGATTAGCTATTCCAAGATCCAGACTGAGAAGTAGGGTTTGAGCAAGCCCACTTTTGACTCTCACATTAAGCTACAACACAGCTTTTTAAAAAAATCAGTAATAGAGATACTTTGAGTGTCTACCTGGTTTATTATTTCTAAATAGCTTCAGATCGTTCTCCACACATTTAAGAAGAATGGATATTATCAAAGTATGAAGAGGTTTAAAAATTTTTTGTGGGAAAATGGAGTGAAAAGATAATGGACTTTTTCCATGAACTGTTTGAAGTCCCTTGCTTCCAGGTTGGAAGGGAGAAAGGGTAAGAGAGGAAGCAGAGCAAGAGAAAAGGGTGGCAAATAATAACTTCAGCCATGACGTTGTTTGCCTGATTTTATATCCATATCAGTATTTGGCATTGGGCCGATGCCCTTCATGGAAAGAAGTGACTCATCAGGATGACAGGTATTCTGAGCTGGGAACCTGCTACCCAATGGGGCAAGATGGCACAGAATGGAGCCTTCAGATGTCCAAGTCCTGCAGATACCAGCAGAGGGGCTGGTGCCATCTGGCCAGTGTCTGGAATTAAAGGACAATGGATGTTCTCCAGATATGAAGGCTCATTCTAAGGTTACATTATAGGTAGATATTTGACAATTACAGTCACATTTATACAAATATTCAATTGGGGGTCAAATCTTTGAAAAGGGAAAGGAAATCTCATTAACACTGCAGGTATCTGTCTGGACAAATAACAGAAACCTTGTCCATTATTATCTTCTTACAGATTAGCCAAAAATAAACAAGAACTGAAATCCTTGGTGCAAATAATAAAAAAAAGAGGAGGATACATTAAGGACTTTATTTTTAAAAAATCACATCATTTTCCAAGTATGTTTTGGGCTCCTGACCTCCTTTAGACCAATGTCCTCCTCTCTCATTTAAAGGCTGAAGCTATAAATGTCTACAAAGAAACATCCTGAGTCATCTAAAAAAGGATGCTATGTTCTACATTCTGATTCCACCTAAGGAGGAAAGTGATTTTGTTTGTTTGTTTTAAATTGCTATGAGAGTTGGGGTTGAACTGAGTAAGGGAAGTAGCACCATCTGATTCAATTATGTATCTGCCCCAGGTTCACTAGGGTACTTTGTACACAGCATGTGTTCTCTAACTGCTTATTGAACAAATAAATGAACTTCTGTTTATAAGAAACATTACATTTTCCAGAAACTGCACCTTTCCTGGTTATTAAATATTTCCATGGCTAGTATACTTATTTTTTTTTTTAATAAAAAATCAATGTAAACTATTTTCCTGAGATTACAGTGTAAGCCATTGATGATTGTATTGAGAAAATGTAAAACAAAACAAAAAAATCCAAAACCAAACCCACCCACACATTTCCTGGAATAGCTGTTTCTGTTCCCCATGGTCAGAAGCACAGTGATTACCTGAATCAATACTTTTCAGTAATGCATAGAAGTTTGGGAAGTATTGGAGTTCCTCAAAGTTGTCTTCACTGTAGGTTTTAGTTCTCCTTTCCAAGCCATTTGTCAAGGTTAAGGTATTAGATACTGTTTCATCATTTTCTCCATTAGTAAAACCATCTTGAATTGTTGCCAGGGGAGTCTCCAGTGGGGGGAAAAAATCAATTAAAAATAAAGATGGTGTTAGAACTAATGAAACTCCTGCTCAATTCTTTCTTCTGTGGTGTCCTTGAATGGGAAGCACAAGAAATGCTCCTCCTTTGTAAGCTCCTGCAAGCTCAAACCTTTTCTAAGCATGCATGAATGTAGTCATGTGAAAAGGTGTATGTACAAGCAGGGACATGGACAGGTGCTCCACTTCCACAAAAGCCCCCATATACAGGTGAATTTACCAGAACGTCTAACACTGGCAGAGCAGTGATTCTTCCATGTCTGACCCTTGTCCAGTATTCCCTATATTACTGAATGGCCCATTCTCAATTCAGCAATTGGGCAGAAGTCTGAGAACCCTTCTTTCCTCTTCTTCCTTAGTTGGCCTACTTTAAAAGTTTATCTGAAATTCAGACCTATTTCTCCCTTCTCCTCTATTCCAAAATAGTCTAGGCTGCCTTCATCTCTCACTTTCTAACTGCTATCTACCATCCTACCAATCCATTCTTCACACTGTATTCTCCCATGGTTATCTTTTTTCAAAATCAGATGATGTAGCTCCTTTGCATAAAATCTTTCTGTATTTTACCATCACTTACAATATAGATCACAATCCATATAAAAGTCTCACAAGACCCTGCATGGTCTGGCCTCGGTCCAACTCTTCAGCCTCATCTCTCATGATTCTGTAGGCCAGTCCACTGTCCTTGTTTGGGTTGTTGAGGTAGTCCATATTCCTTTTCTACATGCTGCCCCTTAGGGTTGTGATTCAGCCTTCAATTCTCAGCCTGAGTCACTTCTCTGAGCCTAAGTCTAGGACAAGTTCCTTTTTGATAAGGTCAAATAGAACACATTTCTTTTTTTTTCAAAGAGCATAATGCAGTTGTAATGAAAATACTATGACAATTTGAAGATCATCTACCTCTTCCATTTAGACCTTAAACTTCATGAGGGCAGAGATTATGTCTTTTAAATGAGCACTTATGTCGACTTGGCACAGAGTTCATACTCAATAAACTTATTGAAAAAATAGGATAATTGATGCATTTAAATAACATGACTGAACAGATCAAGCACATGGACGTTTTAGAGAAGGGCGATTAAGGAAGATATAATAATATAATATAGCTAACATCAGTTTCAGCTTGGGTGAAAGTTATGAGTTCTTTGATGAATTTAGAAAGCATCTTTTCTAAAGTGGGTGGATCTTAAAGCTGCTAAAAGGTGCTCCTTGGTAGGGACAGGAAGTAGGGGCAGCAAAGAAGAGCTTGTAGGCCATCCATCTAGTGAAAAAATCAGAGACCATTTCTATTTTTTGTTTTTCCCCTATCCTCATCTAAAACAAGATCATAAGCCTATTAAATATGTCCCCTGTATTTGGGATAGAGTTTATATATAAATTAATAGTATTTCACGAATATATACATCTTAAGTAGGGTAAATATGCCACATGTCCCAAATATTCTTTGGTATTAATTATATAGAGATACAAGTATACACACACACAAACATACATACCATGCACACACATACATATACATACCACTTTCTCTGGTATTTTTCCATCCTGGCTCTCTGTTCTGCGTGTGGGTTTACTGGGCTCCTCTTCATAATTGTTGGCTTCCTTTGAGATTAATTTTTGTAAAACCTCTGCTACTTCATCTTCCAGTGTGTGTGCCTGACTTTCTGTGATCTGTTATAAAGAGCCAAAACAGATATAACTGCTATCTCCATTTTTGTAGGTTATTTTTTTAAAAAACATCTAAACTCTGTTGTTGATCACATCCTTTTAAAAGAGGGGAGAATCTTCTGAACAGCCTTCATTTATGCCACTACTCAAAGTTGTCAAAGACTTCATTTTGTTTGAATCCACAATCAACACTCATGAAAGAAGCAATCAAGAAATTAAACGGCCACTGTGGTGTATGAATGGCGCCGTGCATCTATGCCAGAGCGTCCGCGCGTGCGTACACCCCACGCACGTCGCGGTCGTGAAGCAGTCTTCCTGCAGTCTTCTGTGCCAATGAACCCGGTAGCTTAGCCCCTTCCCTCTCCCCGTGCCTTGCCATCCACGATCGCGCCGAGGCCCCGAAGGATTACCGCAGAGGTTTCCACCAGACATCAAGCATGGCGGCCATCCCCTCCAGCAGCTCGCTCGTGGCCACCCACGATTATTACCGGAGCCGCCTGGGGTCCACTTCCAGTAACAGCTCCTGCAGAAGTGCTGACTATCCCGGGGAAGCTATCCCCCATCACCAGGGCTCCCCAAGGCGGACCCTGGCCACTGGTGGGCAAGCTTTTTCTTCGGGAAGGCCACTGTCCCATTCATGGCCCCTGTGTTGTTGGAGTCACCGGAGCACTCGGGATCCCCCCAGGCCTCCAACAGCGTGATCACCTGTGACCTGGCACCGGGTACCATGAGGAAGCAACCTGGCAGCCCTCCAGCACCATCAGCGCCAGGCCCCTCCTGAAGGCTTACCTCACTACAGCTTCCTGAGGCGCCAAGGCCCCGCTCTGTATCCACCCCGTAGACTAGGCAGGCTGATCTAAGTGGAGAAGTGGTTGATTCTTTTTATATCAAAAAAGCAAAACACCAAAAAGGTCAAGAGAACCCCACTCTTTACTGTCCAATCACACGCCAGCCTTCCCAGCACCCCATAACCGTCTGCCTTGCGCTGAGTGGAAATAAACTGGACGCCGCCAAAAAAAGAAATCAAATGACGTATTGCATTAGGCAAATCTGCATAAAACCTTTTTAAAGTGTTCAAGAGCAAAGATGTCAGTTTGAGGACTAAGATATGCCTGACCCAAGCCATGGTATTTTCAACAGCCTCATATGCAAGTGAAATTT